TCGCGCTACTGCCATATATTATACTAGCTGGCTTACCCGGCTCCGCCGTATCCGGACCAAACTTGGCACACATACACTTCGGGCCCCGGCGCGTGTCACAGTCCACTTTTCGTTATCGATCGATGTCGATTTTACCGATTTTTATCGATTTTTTCGCAGAGTTCACCTACAGGGCTAAGAGTTGGCACAGGGGGGAAGTGAGCATGGGGATTCCGAATACAATATTAGTTTTCAGAATTATCGGTTACTTTTATTGATTTTATCGATTTTTTGTAAATTTTGACATGCGAGGCTGGGATTTTGCACAGGGGGTAATCGAGCATGCTGATTACGAACACAATATTAGTTTTCAGGATCGTCCATTACTTTTATCGATTTTATCGATTTTTTTGTAAAGTTTGACCTGCGGGGCTGGGAGTTTGCACAGGGGGGTAATCGAGCATGCAGATTACGAATACAATATTAGTTTTTGGAATTATCCATTACTTCTATCGATTTTATCGATTTTGCAAAATTTGAGCTAGGGGGATGGAATTTGGCACAGGGGTGTAATCGAGCATGCTGATCACCCCCTTGGGGATGATCAGCATGCTCGATTACCCCCCTGTGCCAACTCCCAGCCCCGTAGCTCAAACTTTGCAAAAAAATCGATAAAATCGATAAAAGTAATCGATAATCCTGAAAACCAATATTGTATTCGGAATCCCCATGCTCGATTACCCCCCTGTGCCAACTCCCAGCCCCGTAGCTCAAACTTTGCAAAAAAATCGATAAAATCGATAAAAGTAATCGATAATCCTGAAAACCAATATTGTATTCGGAATCCCCATGCTCGATTACCCCCCTGTGCCAACTCCCAGCCCCGTAGGTGAACTCAGCAAAAAAATCGATAAAAATCGATAAAATCGCTATCGATCGATGACGAAAAGTAGCCTATGACACCCGCCGGGGCCCGTAGCGTATGTGTGCCAAGTTTGGTCCGGATCGGTTCAGAAATGGAATTTTCTATTCGGAACATACGTACATACATACATACATACATACAGACAGACATACAGACAGACATACAAACAGACATTCAGCTTTATATATAAGATTAGGTTGATTCATAATCTATGCACGTTTTTCTCACCTCTTCTTCCAAGAGCTGGTATTTGATATGTAGTCAAATCCCCTAAAAACTTCTTATGCTTTCTAAAAGAGCGTCTTTTCTAGTTTGCTATACGGGTCTTTGCTTTCTTTTGCTCTTCGTCCATTCCAAAGTTCTGAGCCTCCAAATAAAAGAGACTAAATCACAAAATTTCTGCCTTTCACTCTTTTTGCCCTAAATTCATGAGGAATAGACGGATTAATCTAAAAAAATATGCATAAGATTTAGGAAACTTTCTGCTACAAAATGCTATTTGAACAAAATTCTCCATGAATTCTGAACCGAGAAAATCGATTGCGAATTTGAATGATTATCGCGGCTCTCCCGTGCCATATAAAGCTTTGAAGCAAAAGGCGATTGCAGTTCTTTTGCACTATCCAGCAAGGGTAGACCTAGTTTATTTGATGGTAGAAAAGCGCTAGGGTTTTTTCACTTTTCAGCGGAAAAAAATGAAATAATTTCAAGAATGACCAATTTTTGAACACTCCGAGATGCCAGAAAAAAGTGAGTACTTTCGAGTTTTTCGCGATATTTCCTTTCGAAAAATTTCCGTAAAATTCAAACTTGGCATTACTGCTCAAGAGACCCTTGGCTACACAATGAGCAAAACCTGCTTTTTCTCACTTTATTTCAACATAAGTTATGCTCTCTTAAAGTAGAGGCTTCTGAAAAAAGTTGTCGGCAATCTTCAGGCCAGAAAATCTTTCTTATGATAGATACAGTCACGCAAAAGTATCTTCTTTATAGCCACTGATTTGATGCTTACTGTAGTTTTTATTGCGCCCAGAAATGTCTTTTCAAAAAAGAATTATCTCGGTTGAAATTTGAGGTGTAGAAAACGTGCATTAATTATGAATCAACCTAATATATCGATCAAGACAGCAGAAAATTTGTAGTTTATTAATAAGATGCACTACAAAAAATATGCAAAAACAAAAAAGTTAAATAAATAAAAAACAACACAAAAACACAAATAAATATCACAATTATTTACAGCTTAATTTTTACATTCCCACTGAATCAAAAATTACCTCCAAAAGCGACTGATTTTCTACATAGGTAGTAAGAGCAAGATGCTCAGGCTGAAGATTGTATAGCTGAGAGTTAGACATTTCGAATCTTAGCTGCTCTACATCATTTCACCTTTTATACACCCATATGTGGCACAGTTCCTCTAATATCTGACTTACTTGGTGTTAGAATTCCCCAAGGGACACATCCAATTGTGCCAAAAAACTATTCAATGATCTATTATATATTTTTACGAAGTTACTCCATGATATTATGCTTTTAATTTGATTTTGTAAGTATTCTTCAATTTATTTTTTTGCACTTTTTTGTTCCTGCGTATTTTTGTTGAGGTGCGAGACTGTTGCGAAAATCTCTCTGCGAGAGGTTGCGGACGACGAGAGCGCGCCTACAATAGCTCAGCCGCGACGCTGGTGCCAGCTCTGGGGACTGGCCGCGGCACCAGGCGGCTGCCTGGGTAAACTTGCTACGCACCCAAAAGAACGCCTTCTCTAACTTGCGGCATTTAGACCTCATTTAGGTACAACGTACTGGAAAACATGTATAGACTAACGAATACAAAACTGCAATCCCTTTCAGAGCTTCGAAGACGATACTTGTCGAAACCTTAGGCAATAAAGGTCCACCATAAAAACTTCCTGGTACAAAATCAAAACCACAAAGTCAACGAATGCCGAGGTTTTAAGAAGAGAGAACATGAAAACTGAATAGACGGTCTACTTTGTTCTTCTTGGTGCTCGCAACACTCATTCGAACATTTCAGCACTCTTCCTTAAGATTCTTTATCTTTTTCTTATTCTTCTCCTGTGCATACTTCGTTCTTGTCTCAAGCATGTTGCGAATAACTGCCGATTTGGTATATGAGATCAAATGTGTGAGTGCAGCGCCACTCAAATCGCAGAGAGGGACCACTATAGTAAGAATGAAAAAACGCCCAACAAAGGACGGGGAAGTCTCACCACACCGCTCGGTAGATTAAAGTTGAGTTTTATCGTGCTAAGGACTCCGAAGCTAGTCGCGTCATACTGGCACACAAGTGCGGTATTGCTGTAAAGCTCTCGAGGCATTCCCGATTTTTGCAAGAAGCCCAAGCATGAACAACCGAAATGAGTGCGCGTTGATTACGAATGATTGTGCCTTTTATGGCGTTATGTGAGGCAGGCGCTAAACTTGTTGAGGAGCATAGCACCGCTACGGGCGATCGCTAGTCGCTACGATTGGCGATCGGCCGTCGTCGATGTTGGCGATCGCCATTTGCCGAACTTGGCGACTGCACTTTAGATAGTTATCGAATAGCTAGCTGGCACCTCTTTACTTGTCCAGATACCTATCCGATGTACAGCTACTCAGATAATCGCCGGGGGCAGGCGGTCCGCAAACTCGCGCTTTTCTGCAGGCGGTCAGCAGAATTTTGGGGCGTGGCCAAACCTTCAGCGGGCGGTACTTTCGTCTTCTGCCAGCGGGCAGCAATACAAAATTTTCTGCAAGCGCTCCGCAAATAATTTCTTTCAGCGAGCGCTGGCCAAATTTTCAGCAAGCGCTCGGACACTTTTCAAGCATTTTCGGGCATACGTCGAGCGCAGGTACGACTCTGTGTGGCAGAGGTGTCGCCGTTGGTTTAGTTACCCAAGTTTGAGGTACTTTCTCCCAGCGAAAAGTACCCGAGGGTTGAGCGGTCCTCCACAGAGGACCGTGCGGCCCTCGAAATCTCTGCATATTCTCGCGGAAAGTCCGCAAGAATGCGGCCACTGCGCCGCAGCTAATCCATGAAGAAACCGCGATTGTTCTTCAAGCTTTCGTCTTTAATTTCGCCAACTTTCTTCCAACTTTCTGCAAGCGGGCCGCAAAAAATCAACGAACTATTTTTCCGGTGCCCGCCTGCCCATAAATCGCATCGCCGCTTGCCCCCGGCGATTATCTGAGTACGACTGGCGATCGCAAGTCGCTACGGTTGACGATCACCAGTTCGCCAGTATCAGCAAATGTGTCTTTCATAAGTATTGTAACAAGCTACCACATGTCCAATCGATGTGATATGCATCGCACGTGGAGCCGTCACATTGACGATTGATGAATGGCGATCGCCCGTCGTTAGTATCGACGGCTGGCCATCGCCATTGTCGGCGACAAAAATTGCCGATTTCACACGTATTTGATGCATACGGATCGATGGGGTACTATACTTCTTGAAAAGTATATCGCCTGCCTGAGTTCGGAAATACTATCAACGATTATGTTAATATGGTGTGCATTGTATTACTGTACTATCGAGGACGGCCGCATTTAACAAATGTAACGTACTACGAATTGATTTTTTGATTTGCTGTAATTTAGTGTAGTATTGTAGGCGGTAAAAGTTAAACGCTGCTGTTTTTTGGTAGTCACAGAATGTCTTTTGTTTTTTAATTTCGTTGAAACTGTAATTAACCTTTCTCGGAACTTTATTAGTTCGTCCTTGACATACTTGCTTTTTTTTTCAAGACAGCTGCGTACAGGGCTCCTAAATTGCAGAGTCGTTTGCACCAGCGGTCGCGCGACCGCATCGCGCCCGGGCATCAACGGCGCCGCCTTGATCGATGGCGCCGGCGCCGGCAAAATGCCCGGGCGCGACGAGGTCGCGCGACCGCTGGTGCAAACGACTCTGCAATTTAGGAGCCCTGTAGTAGTTCTGTCATCCTTGCAGATGAGGTTTTTTGCTTGAGTTTATGATTGTCGTATCAGCAAAACTTACTTCAAACTTTGCATTCAAGAGCTGAAGCTTCACTTCAATTTTTTCTGTTTTAATGCTACGGAATCTATCGTAATGAAAATATTCTGTCAAAACAACTTCCATCTTAAATTTACTGTTGTGCAGTAATTGAGATATTCGTGCACAAAATAGGAAACTTTAACTTAAGTCTGCCTTGATGCATACATATACTTGCCCATTGCATTGGCAGTACTGGCACCTCAAACCTTCTTTGTCGAGGAATCCACATAAATCATCTTCGTAACGTCCGTTATCCTGAAATAGCACATGAAGTAGATTATCTTTACGTTTGCAAAGACAAGACTTATGACATGTTTTGCATATGCGGCATGAGGAACATTAGCATGTCGCCCATGGTGCGCAATCTAAGCAAAACAGAATTTTGCTCCTGCCTCACTCCAGAAGAAAGGCGAAAATAAGGAGGCGGCAGAATGGCAAGGCGGATGACGCTCAAAATGCGCGAAGAGAGAAGATTACAAAAGCTGGGAGTGTAGATATATTTGCGGTAGGCTAACATTATGCTTAATGAAGGTACTACTTTCATGGCAAAGTAAAGTAGTTTCAGTTTTTCGCAGTGGTGGACCAAACGGATTGGCTTACTTTTTTCCGGAACTTCAGAAAGCATTTAGATACTTTTCTTGGTTCCACTCTCTGCCGGCCGCTGCAATTCAAAAAAGCTTGGAATCACAATTTTCTAGTATCATACTTTTTGATTTCGCTGCCTACATGGTGTTGCTGATCGAAGTTACTAAGCGTAGTAATGATTCCTTACCATTTCATCACAGAATTGCTGGCACTGGCGCTGGTTACACTTGTTCAAATGAAATGTCAAACTGCGGGTGTGAGAAACGCTTGCGCCTCTTGCCAGAAATGGGAACAGCAGGAAGATCAGGAATAGATGCATGTTCGTAGAAATCAAAATGCTTATCTCTTCACAGTCTGTGAAGCTTTTATACTGGAAATAAGATTATTCGAATTAAAATTCCTTTGCTTTTTGTAAAATGCCATTTCTTATAGCCTTGTAAAAAGCAGCGATAAATGTTCCTTTTTAACTCAAAAGTTCTCCTTTCTTTAAACCTTGGCATAATTGATGAATATTACGCAATTTCTTCTTTGCCACGACAGGTTTTTATAGCAATAATTTATTGCGCTGCCTAACGTTTCGGCGAATACGCCTTCCTCAGAGGCCCGAAGTGAGTCATTCACTTTCATCAAACGTTTTATGCCATCAAATGCCTCGACCAACTCGCACGTTTGACTCGTCCAATGCAACTGCAGTCCAGCGTACAAGCTCGATCAACTTACCAAGACTCCCAGAGAAGAGCACGATAGAGGCTCTTTTGGTCGCCTATAGTGTACGGTAACAATAAACAGTCCGACTGGTTTGGACATTTTTAAATAGCCATATGCTATCGAAATCACAAACAGATAAATGTATGCCATTGCATTTGAGTGACTTGGATCAACCAAGTTGTAAGATCAAAGGTATCCCGTTGAAAAGTGTTGATACGTTCAAAGATTTTGGAATCTTAGTTAATTCCAAGTTGAAGTTAACCTTATTGATAAGGCACTTAAGTTTTTTGAGTTAAAAATGCTTATAGGGCACTTTTTACGCTCTTTAGAAACATGCACATTAGAAACGCTAAAGGATGATTAGACTGTACAAAGCTATGTTCTACCTCACCGCGAATATTGCTCGCAGGTCTGGAGCCCTAGTTTGAAAAAGAGATAACAAAAGTGGAGAAAGTCCACAATACATTTACCAAGCTTCTAATTCACAGAGTTTCTCCAGGAGCCATGCCCAGCTACAAGAGTAGGTTGAAGGCTTTCTTCCTACATATCCTCCTTTACAGTTTCTTTTCGCGTTCAAAAAAAAGAAACGAACTTGAAGCCGAGTAAGCACTGGGTATTTCGACCGAGCTCAACCAGATTGGGTTCATTCAAACTAGATTACAGGGAAGTAATGAACAAACGCTATATATTGGCGTTCAAACCATTCTTTTGCCGCACAGCTCGATGGCTAGAACTACTGCCAAGTGAGGTTTTGGGCTCAGCCACTAGTGAAATTTTCAGAAGTAAGCTCAAAAAGATTTCAGTTTTACAGTGTTCAAGAATAAGGTAGTAACACTCTCTCTTCAACCACTTTATACTAGTTTATCATCCTGTTGTTGTCGGGTAGTGGGGGTTAGGGGAGCCCAATGCTTCCTCTCCCTCCGACCCATACCTCTCGGTGTGCGGGAAGGGTGAGCTAATACTCCTCCTTCCCGCACCACCCCTGTCTTTTGGGTGTGTGGGAAGGTGGAGCTTGATGCTCCTCAATCCCACACACCCTGTGGGGTTATGTTTATTTCAGGCTCCGAGCAGTAGTTCTGCAATGTTCTGTTTATTCATGTCAATTCTCTACACTAATTCATTCCACTTCCGTAAGGATATGGGTCTGGGCAGCAGCTGATACTTTACTCTCTACTTTCTGGCCTGTATTCTCTACGTCCCAATCGAGTGAATCTATTCGCAAGCTGGACGTAAACCTCACTGATCGTGGTGGCGCACACGCGACCCTTCGTTTTCTCAGGCCGTCACTCGACACTGTTAACCCGCTCAAATACCAAAGATACCTAGGTATAGTCACATCGTCGCTGCTCCTTGTCAACAGAAATCCTTCATCACATCATCTCAGTTTCCAATCTTTACGGTTGCACTGACCGCAGTTTGTAAGAAGATTTTGAGTTGTTTTGTGTTATATGCCCGATGTTTGGTGCTTTTAACATATTTATACGCAGTCCACAAGTCGACTTAGGACTGGTTCACCCCTTTCGATGTTAGTGAAACAGCTCGTTGAGCCCTATCAACTTTTGACATTATGCAAAATTTTTTCGCGGAGTTCTGTCCTCTCCCCAGAAATTGGTTGGGCGGGTTTTTGCCTATACACTTACACACCCTCTTCTACCACATATAAATGCTTATTTGAATAATCAAAGAGCACTTTGGGTGCAAGCAGGGGGCATGAGGCAGACTCCATTGAGCCTTTACACCAATGAGATGATTTCGTAAATGCCATAGACAAGCTTAATACTTTCCTTTTTACTCCTAGGGGAGCTGGACTTGAGCTACTTGATGATTGTTTGTCTTGTTTTCTCTTTTCTGTTAGTATTTTGAAGTTATTTCTTGGTCTGTTCCGGTTTTGGCACACCTTGTGCGTAACATATAAATAAATAAATGAATAAATAAATAAGAACGGCTTTAGATCGTTCGTCACAGACAACTGTTCATTCTTGCTATTTAATTTCGGGTTACGAGCAAGAATGAACTTCTAACACTTTTCGAGCAGAGATGTTATCCTCGATTGCCAGTATGCTGCAATTTATGTCAAAGTCTTCGCCGCCATGATCTTCCCTTCTATGTTTCCCCAATGGGCTCACAAACCTCCGTCTTCCTTTGCTGGCCAGATGTTCATTTACACGTACGAAAACCGGTCGACCGGTCTCGCTAATGTAAATGGCCCGGCATGTTCGACATTCCAGCTGTAAACTACACCACTTTTTAAGCAATTTCCCGACCTTCCGTTTGTGCACACAACACAATTTCGCGATGTGCAAGCTCTATCGTATAATCGACTTCGGAGCAGTTGTTTCTTGATGTTGTCTATTTGTAAATTCACTAGAACAACATCATTATTCAACTGTGCTTGCGTAATAACATCGTTTGACTGCGTTGGTCACTTTGACGCATATTAACGGCAAGCATAAAGGAACACTGTGATTGTCGTTCTGTGATTTCTATAGCCTATAGCTATTTAACACATTGACGACCATGCAGATTTTTAGCTGTCTGCCTTCTAGAACCAAGGCCATTTACGGACCGCCCGCATTTTTCAACCATGATTACGCATACTGCCATCTACAGTACACCTACAGTAGATCTGAAATGCTGAAAATTACGGTAGAGGTCATCCCTAGACTCAGTGCAGAAGAAAGCTCGTGGAGTGTGTTTATCAAAGTATAGTAGTTATTTTAACAAAATTGAAGCTTTGACACACATGGTGTGTCAAGCGGTCCCACGCGGTAGTCATTGCTTGACACACCATGTGTGTCAAGCGTCGTCAGTGTGTTAAACAAGTCCAAACCAGTCGGACTGTTTATTGTTACCGTACACTGTAAGCGACCTAAAGAGCTTCTTAGTGCTCTTCTCTGGGAGTCTTGGTAAGTTGATCGAGCTTGGACGCTGGACTGCGGTTGCATTGGACGAGTCAAAAGTGCGAGTGGTCGAGGCATTTGATGGCGTAGAACGTTTGATGAAAGTGATTGACTCACTTTCAGGCCTCTGAGGACGGCGTATTCGCCGAAACGTTAGGCAGCGCAATAAATTATTGCTATAAAAACCTGTCGTGGCAAAGAAGAAATTGCGTAATATTCATCAATTATGCCAAGGTTTAAAGAAAGGAGAACTTTTGAGTTAAAAAGGAACATTTATCGCTGCTTTTTACAAGGCTATAAGAAATGGCATTTTACAAAAAGCAAAGGAATTTTAATTCGAATAATCTTATTTCCAGTATAAAAGCTTCACAGACTGTGAAGAGATAAGCATTTTGATTTCACAATAAATTATTGCTATAAAAACCTGTCGTGGCAAAGAAGAAATTGAGTAATATTCATCAATTATGCCAAGGTTTAAAAAAAGGAGAACTTTTGAGTTACCGAAACAGACAAAAAAACAGACAAACAAACATACCGCCACATCTATTCTCCTTAGTAAAAGAAGCCCTAGCGCTTCGTCAGAAAGTGATAAGTACAAACCAGTCACTTACGTTTCTCAAACGATGTCAAACAGAAGACGTGTTCCTCACTTCATCACAAATAAGAAGCTTGGAGTCACGTGCAATCTCCCTGAAGATCATCCCAAAATACGTGGATTGTATAAGTCGATCTTGGGAATTACGATAAAGCAGAAGCAGTACGTCTTATACTCCAGCCGACTGAAGTGCAGAACGAAGGAAGAAGCTTGTCGAAGATTGTTAGATAATGTTATGTGGCAGGGGCTTGAAAGCGCGTCAAGAAATGTCTGCGACATTGTACGTTCTGCTAAAGCCAGACTACGCAGAAAGTTTGACGTACTCCTGAGCGAGCGTAAATCTAGTTTATCCAAGCTTGAACCAGAGGTCCAGAGACTCAACAACGGTCAGTTAATGTCGATCAATCTCAGTTTGATAAAACGGCCAAGATCACTGTTTTAGGCAACGTTAACATCTTTTCTAACACTATAGACCTCCTGAACTTGGGACCCTCCTTTGCGCCCACGCAAAATGTTGATTTTAAGGTCTTTCGCAATGTATTAGGCTCTGCAACGTTTTAGAGACCAGTTACGGACCAAAGTCAGGCTTGATAACAACATACAAGCTTCTGTTTTTTGTAGAAGACTGCTGCCCTAAATACCTTTCCCTTCGTGGTTCTACAAAGAACCCGATCCTTGCTATGAAGCTAATGTTAAATTTCGGACACTGTAGGCGGGCATTTTGATCATTCTAAATGAAAGCCGCAGTTTCAAACATTCCAACTTGACTTACGCACAAAAGCAGGGTTTCAAGGAGCTACGTGAACTGACAGCGATCGGCACCCTCCGGCTTTCAGTCAGCGATAAGCGGAGTGAGTTCGTCGTCATGCTTCAGACACTGAACCGTGATATTACCGAAAATCACTTATCCGTTGATTCAGTCTCTCGTAATACAAGCGACTGAACCACATCTGGATGATGATTAGCAAGCAAGCCGGTATAGAAGAAAGGTTCCTCAGTAGGTTCAAGATTGAAAACCCAAGCTGCCCTGTCTTCTATGGCCTCGTGAAAACCCACAAGCTGTCGACCGACCCACAAAGTGTGTCAGCCGCAACTTGCGCGATTAGACCAATCATCAGTTGTGTTGGAGGGCCAACAGACAGAATTGCATGGTTTTCAAACAAGATTGTCAGCCAACTCTTAACTAAATACTCGCCTATTTACCGAACACCAATCGCTTTCTTAAACAATTATATAATACGCATTTCGACCAGAATTGTGTAACGGAGTCGTTTGACGTGGAGTCGAGTCATTATACACAAATGCGTCAATGATGACGCCCTACTTCAAGCACTTTCTGAGCTCCTCGATATGCATATTGCAAGTGTGGAAACGTACGCTCAGTAAAGTGCGCATCATCGCTCTTATCAAGGAATGCCTTGGATGTAACATCTTCAATTGGTCGGGCAAGTTTTACGCACAAGTAAGAGGGCTGGCGATGGCAAAGACTAGCGCCGATTCTTGGTGTCTGCTTTATGAGCAAGATAGAAGAGCATGTATTAACGCGACCTCCCCTAATGTACTGTCGCTATATAGACGATTGTTTCATTGTGACTTCTGCTCAGTCCGAAATGGATGAGTGCTTTAAGATTTTCAATGAACACTCGCAGTACATTAGCTTAACTAGAGAGAAACCGCACGATGTCTAGTTACCCTACCTTAACACAAGGTGTTGTTGGCAAACATCGCTGTACACACTAAATGGTATCGGAAAGAGAGCAGCAAGAACATTATCTTACACGCCACTTTCGCTCACCCAACTGCCGTGAAACGTGCGGTTATCCGCAACATGTTCAAGACAGTCAGCAGTGTGTGCAGCAGAGAAAGAGAGGGACTTGAGTCTCTGGAAATGGCACGCGTCATAGCTTCCAACAACGGATACTCGCTGCAATCGAAAGCCTCCTAACGAACATACACGAACACAAGCAACCAATTGAGCACGAGTTCCTTTATGCTTTCCGTTCATATGCGACAAAGTGACCAACGCAGTCAAACGATGCATTACGCAAGCACATTTGGATAATGATGTTGTTCTAGTGAATTTACCAATAGACAACATCAAGAAACAACTGGTCCGAAATCGATTATACGATAGAGCTTGCACATCGCGAAAATGTGTTGTGTGCACAAACGGAAGGTCAGGAGATTGCTCAAAAAGTGGTGTAGTTTACCAGTTGGAATGTCGAACATGCCGGGACATTTACATCGGCGAGACCGGTCGACCGCTTTTTGTACGTGTATGAACATCTGGCCAGCAAAAGAAGATGGAGCCTTATGAGCTCATTGGAGAAACATGAAGGGAAGATCATGGCGGCGAAGACTTTGACATAAATTGCAGCATACTGGCAATCGAGGATAACATCTCTGCTGAAAAGTGTTAGAAGCCGCGTTCATTCTTGCTCGTAACCCGAAATTGAATAGCAAGAATGAACAGTTGTCTGTGACGAATGATCTGAAGCCGTTCTTATCATTCTGTGATTTCGATAGCCTATAGCTATTTAAACATGTCCAAACCAGTCGGACTGTTTATTGTTACCGTACACTGTAGGCGACCTAAAGAGCCTCTATTGTGCTCTTCTCTGGGAGTCTTGGTAAGTTGATCGAGCTTGTACGCCGGACTGCGGTTGCATTGGACGAGTCAAACGTGCGATTGGTCGAGGCTTTTGATGGCATAAAACGTTTGATGAAAGTGATTGACTCATTCTCGGGCCTTTGAGGAAGGCGTATTCGCCGAAACGTTAGGCAGCGCAATAAATTATTGCTATAAAAACCTGTCGTGGCAAAGAAGAAATTGCGTAATATTCATCAATTATGCCAAGGTTTAAAAAAAGGAGAACTTTTGAGTTAAAAAAGGACATTTATCGCTGCTTGTCACTGGGGCTATAAGAAATGGCATTTTACAAAAAGCAAAGAAAATTATTATTTTGAATATCTAATTTTATTTTCAATATAAAAGCTTCACAGACTGTGAAGATAAGCATTTTGATTTCTACGAACATGCATCTATTCTCGATCTTCCTGCTGTTCCTATTTCTGGCAAAAAGCGCAAGCCTTCCTCACACCCGTCCCAGTTTGATCAAGTGTGACCAGCGCCAGTGCCAGCAATTCTGTGATGAAATGGTAAGAACCATTACTACGCTTAGTAACTTCGATCAGCAATACCATGTAGGCAGCGAAATCAAAAAGTATGATACTAGAAAACAGTTGTGATTCTAAAGCTTTTTTGAATTGCCGCGGCCAGCAGAGAGTGGAACCAAGAGAGATATCTAAATGCTTTCTTGTTCTCTTAAGACGTGACTCTAAAGTTCCGGAAAAAAGTAAGCCAGGCAGCACCACGTTAGATTTCTACACAGCAAAGTTGTTACAAACTTACGGATAGTTCTCTTCACAAAAGCTACTGCCTTGCATAGTTTTATGATACATGTAGCACTTGATGCCAATCCGTTTGGTCCACCACTGCGAAAAACTGAAACTACTTCACTGATATATAACGCATGATATTCCACGTTCGACTATTTCTGAATCTTGGCATTCAATTACGATATATGATGTTAAGCTTTCCAAGATTGATAGTTCCTTCCTTTATTGCCAGTACAGTTAACAATCAGTACGGTCTATGTTTCGGCGAAGATCGCCTTCTTCAAGACCTGGAAACGAGTCAACGTGTGCAGTAATTCACTCCAAGGGTAGACATACCTTCAACAATACTGTGTAGGGTACGCCCAACACTCTGACGACGTGTCAGACCACTACTCGCCGTTTAGTGTGATGGAATGAACTTTCCTTGTATGGTCACACTCGAATCCACATATTTGTAGGAAAGGGGCGAGTTCATTGCTGACGGCAACCCTTTCTCCTTTACTGTTTAGTTTAGGACATCTGCATGATAACCAACAAGCCTCTATGGCTTTTCGCGCGGCAATATTCGTTTCTTTGGAAAGAACAGATATGCTGATGTCAAACGCGATGTCCTGGTGGGAAAGTTTTCGATGTGCGCCTAAAGGCGTGGACACTCGCGGTTTTCGCATTCCATCCAAATGTTCGTTTATTATTAGGCACAACGGTCTTCCTGTTTCTCCAATATATTCTTCACCACACATTTTACAAGTTATAAGATACACAGTACCTCGGCACATGCAATCTCCCGGTTTATTGGAATTGCATACAATGCAGTCCGCCTTCACACACGCTTGATCATGACTTCTATAGCGCACTAGGAGCTGTTTTAGGTTCGGAGGCGGGATTTCGACAAGTCTTAGCGAATTTTGCAAGCCGGATTTATATATGCAACTCCTGATCGCAGCGCTTAACTTATCAGATATAAAGGGCATAAAGAATGGCACTCGATCGCTGACATCATTAAAATCTTTGGCACTATGACAATCGCTTTTGCTTCTCCGCGGCAGGTAACCATTTGCTTGTGCGATTTGGAAAGCCTGCTTAAGTGATGCGGACCTGAGAGCGTTATCAGAAGACACTCCTTTTGCTGTACGTAACATGTGTCGGATAATGCTAAGTTTCATTCGGATCGGGTGTGCAGAGGAGAAGTGTACCAGTATGTTTTTATTGCTCGGTTTTCTGAACCAGTGGTTTTGTATTCTCCTTTGTACAATCAGATCTGGACATTTAGAAAAGGTAGCCATCCCTGCTTAGGTGTCTCTCGTTAATTTGATGTCAGCCATTTGATTATTTAGTATGTCAAAACATAGGTCCATTTCCGCTTGCGTGGGGCAGACGATGAGTGTATCATCGATTTACCTCAAGTAAAGGATAGGTTTGCGGTTGAATATGGGTTCTTCTATTTTCAACATAAATGTAACTGCTAAGATACGTGCCAAACGTTGGCCCATTGCGAGCCCGCGAATTTGCTTGTAGTGCTGTCTCGACCATTTAAAAATCGAATACTCTAAGTATTTCTTCAACAATGTCATGACTTGTTGGATGTTAAAGCCGTAGAAATTGATGCTGTTGCTTTTCTCGGTCAGTAGTTCGAAGACGGCTTGCAAAGCATCCGAGTTTGAAACATTTGTGAAGAGCGAAGTAACGTCAAAAGATTCAATGACGTCATTCTCACCAAATTTAGTATTTTTCAAATGGTCAAGCAGAGCGTTTGTGTTGGCTAAGTGCGCGGGGATGTATGGTATTAGTTGCGCTAAGATCAAATTGAGTAACCACGATATCCTGTGCGTGGGATCATCGACATTACTTATGATCGGGCGAACTTTATAAAGAAAAAAATAATGAAACTAATGAAACTTAGCATTATCCGACACATGTTACGTACGGCAAAAGGAGTGTCTTCTGATAACGCTCTCAGGTCCGCATCACTTAAGCAGGCTCCAAATCGCACAAGCAAATGGTTAGCTGCCGCGGAGAAGCAAAAGCGATTGTCGTAGTGCCAAAGATTTTGATGTCAGCGATCGAGCCATTCTTTATGCCCTTTATATCTGACCAGTGCGTCACCTCTGCTCCGCAGAGGCTCGCACTGACCTTCTGTATGCCTTACTAATTCCCGCATAATGATGACAGTGAAACTCACCGCGTTATGCAGGCTATCACGAATGATTTGTAAACAGCTAGTCATTCCTAGAGCTTTTTGTGCGAGATCGGTAATTACCTTCATCAAGCATAATGTTAGCCTACCGCAAATATATCTACACTCCCAGCTTTTGTAATCTTCTCTCTTTGCGCATTTTGAGCGTCTTCCGCCTTGCCATACTGCCGCCTCCCTATTTTCACCTTTCTTCTGGAGTGAGGCAGGGGCAAAATTTTGTTTTGCTTAGTTTGCGCACCATGGGCGACATGCTAATGTTCCTCATGCCGCATATGCAAAACATGTCATAAGTAACTTGTCCTTGCAAATGTCAAAAATAGTTTACTTCATGTGCTATTTCAGGATAACGGACGTTACGAAGGTTTATGTTATTTCCTCGAGAAAGAAGGTTTGAGGTACGAGTACTGCCAATGCAATGAGGCTTGAATATGTATGCTTCAAGGCACACTTACGTTAAAGTTTCCTATTTTGTGCACGAATATCTCAATTACTGCACAACAGTAAATTTAAGATGGAAGTTGTTTTGACAGAATATTTTCATTATGATAGATTCCGTAGCATTAAAACAGAAAAAATTGAAGTGAAGCTTAAGCTCTTGAATGCAAAGTTTGAAGTAAGTTTTGCAGATACGATAATCATAAACTTAAGCAAAAAACCTCATCTGCAAGGATGACAGAACTACTACAGGGCTCCTAAATTGCAGAGTCGTTTGCACCAGCGGTCGCGCGACCGCGTCGCGCCCGGGCATTTTGAAAGGTTGATTACAGTTTGAACGAAATAAAAAAACAAAAAGACATTGGCCCGTAGTAAACCCTCTCAGCCCAACTCGGCTGGGGGCGGGCCTACGTTGAACGTAGAGCGCCTCAGTCCGGCATCCCGTGAGCCATCGATCCGGATTCGCATCGCTTTTCAGACCCAAAGATCTTGTGCGTTCTCAAAGAATGAAACCCTTGAGTGGTCTGGTCGAGAGGCTAAGTGCATGGGTTTTAATGAGAAAGTCCACGGTTCAAAGCCGGCTAGCGGGACATTTTTGCGCCACCGCAGGACAATCTTTGATAGCGGCCGCTATCGAGAAAAGTCGATGGCGACCGCTCTCAAAGATATCGCCAAGCAAACGATGGATAAAACAAAACTACCACATTTTGGCGAGGAATTCATAGAAAACGAAAATTTTTGAACATAGAGCAAATAAAAAAAAATAAAAAAATCTTTGTTTCAAGCAGCTTTTGAAGAAAAAACGTAGTCAAGCTCTGAAAAAAAGAAGAAATCCAAGAAATCCGCTTTCTCGTCTTTTCGCCGCAATCAGCTGTTCATCGATCCTCTCCCATTTAGGCCGCCGAAAACGTGCAATTTTGGGAGTTTTGCACCGCAAGAATACGTCGGCTAGATTGTCCCGTAAGTTACTCAGGAGCAACTTACGGAAAATTTGTCTGATCCTCCTCTTAAGCACACTATTTCTCTCGGGTCTCCCTAAAATTCAACCTCGGATAAATGGCATTATGGTGAACTGACTTTGACACTTGACCAGACAGTCTTCTGACTGTTGAACTGACTATCTTAAAGCACGGGAAGGTGGGCGGGATTAGGGTTACCCGAGGAAGTTCTTCTAAATGATCAATCTCAAGTTACCTGAAATGAATGGGGGTTTACTACGGGCCATCCTGTGATTACAAAAAGCAGCAGCTTTTTACCTTTACCGCCTACACTTCACTACCTAAATTACAGCAAATCAAAAAATCAGTTCGTAGTACGTTACATTTGTTAAATGCGGCCGTCCTCGAGTACTAGTACAGCAATACAATGCACACCATCTTAACCTAATCGCTAATAGCATTCTCAAACTCGGGCAGGCGGTATACTCCTCAAGAAATATAGCACCCCTTCGATTTGTATGCACCAAATACGTGTGAAATCGGCAATTCTTGTCGCCGATATCGGCGATCGCCAGCCGCCGATACTAACGACGGGCGATCGCCATCCACCACTTGCCAATGTGACGGCTCCACGTGCGATGCATATCATATCGATTGGACATGTGGTAGCTTGTTACAGTACTTATGAAAGACACATTCGCTGATACTGGCGACTGGTGATCGTCAACCGTAGCGACTTGCGATCTCCAGTCATAGCTGTACATCGGATAGGTATCTGGACAAGTAAAGAGGTGCCAGCTAGCTATTCGCACATGTGCTGAAGCAAAGTTAAAAAGTGGCTAATTTTTTGTTCGGTCAAAAAATTTCTCGGCAGCGCAGACCCTACGGGCTCCTTTATGTTGCATAATAATCTACGAAAATTTCTCTATCTATACATTGTTAGAAAAGATGCCTATCAATTTTCATAAAGGAGCGTTACCATGTCAAGACAAATTCGAAGAAAAACCCTGTGAAGTTTTTGCATTCTTCCTTCTTCCTTAACAAGGATTTGCGCAGATCTCAGTATGCATTTCATAGCCAAGGAACTGCTCAACACGTAGAAACAAAGATCTTGGAAAAAAGTTGACTCTGAAAGAAGTTATGACATTTTGAATTCAAAAATTCAAATTGGACAGAACTTATGCAACAACCTAATATATTAGGTGGGTGCAAAAGTTCTTGCGCCGGATTTTCAAAAAATCATAACTTCCTTTCTTCCCAACGATTTTTCTCAAAATTATATTTGTATGAAAGAGAAAACCTTTTTCTTTATTGCTATGCTTTTGAAATGAATTAGCGTTGGTATGTTCGAGAGTTAAAAGCGATTGAAGGAAATTAGTCAAGATCGACATTTTTCAAGCTGGATCACGAAAAATTTTGGAAGTAATCTTGTTTGATAGAGAAAATTCTGCACATTACAGTGGTACCTTTTTCATGAATTAAAACGAAGTAGATTGAGAGTTAGAAGCAAATAAAGAAAATTTCTTCACTTTTACAATTTTTGAGCATGCTCAAAAAAGCTTGAAAAACGTCACAGAAAAGGCTAAAAAGTCACAAACATGGGTTTTGTGACCTTCCCTTTCTAGCTGAGCGAAAATCGTGCCAATCGGAAGTATTTTTCATTTTCGTGATTTATGCGGATTTTCGGGTCTGCGTTTTTCACGAAAATGAAAATTGCTCCCGTATGGCACGATTTTCGCTCAACTGGAAAGGAAAGGTTACAAAACACATGTTTGTGACTTTTTAGCCGCTGTGACGTTTTCAAGCTTTTTTGAGCATGCTCAAAAATTGCAAAAGTGAAGAAATTCTCTTTATTTGCTTCTAACTCTCGGTCTACTTCGTTTTAATTCATGAAAAAGGTACCACTGTAATGTGCAGAATTTTCTCTATCAAATAAAATTACCTCCAAAATTTTTCATGATCCAGCTTGAAAAATGTCGATCTTGACTAATTTCCTTCAATCGCTTTTAACTCTCGAACATACCAATGCTAATTCATGTCAAAGGCATGGAATAAAGAAAAAGGTTTTCTCTTTTATACAATTGTAATCTTGAGAAAAATCGTTGAGAAGAAAGGAAGTTATGATTTTTTGAAAATCCGGCGCAAGAACTTTGGCACCCACCTAATATATCTCTTTGTATAATAAACCTTAGATAGTCTAATCTTATGTCAAATGCACCATAACACCGCTACACCCTCAGGCAAGGGTCTAGCTACCCCTTGTACTTGATATGGAGCTCCCAAGGAGGTTTCTATCATCCCGCTTATAGACTAAATTTTTTTTCTCTTCAAAACCTTGAAAAAAAAAACACCACCCCCACCCTTCTCCAATCGTCTTACAAACACCCTTCCTCAGTCGCGACAAGGAAGTTCAAACGACAAGTGAGTATTTTCTTATTATTACCACTAACCGACAATGGTGTGTTTTAACACTAACCTAGAGCAATCTGAGAATTGCCTTCATAAAGTCCTGCGGGCGAGTACCTTAGGTCAATAAATTACATATTTCATGCATGTAAGAGCGCAGATATTTTTGAAGAAAAAAATTCCGTGCCGATTTATGATTGGACGCAATTCCTAATTTATTTTTTAACGCTGTTCACAGTAGATTTGCATTGAATTCACCGTGATCTGTGACTTACGTAATTAAATTAAGAGAAAAAAGAATATTAACTATTATTTTGTGCATAAAAAAATGAGGGTATATTAATTGAGATTATAGTTAACATAACGGGATTTATCCCCAAAATAAATATAATCATCATGAAATTTAAAAGGACTCGCTCGCGAAAACCGCTATGATCATACAAAATCTGAGATTGGCTATACGAGAAAATATAGCACGTGAAGGCGCTGACAGTTATCAGCTACGCCCGATTCAGGGCGCATTTTTTGGTGAATAGATTGCATCTCCCGGCACCGAAGCTCAACAAACCTCAACCAGCGATAAATTCTCTCGTGGATGACGAAAACTCACAGGTGGCCGCACGAGAGATTTTGCTCAAAACGCTATTACATACTTACTTAGATACTTAGATGACCCGTCCTCACGTGACGTGCGGGACCCAGTACAGAAGTTGCCATTTTTCCCTGTCCCTCGCTTCAGACATCCACGATCTTCTTGGCCGTCGTCGGTGGCTGCGTCCACGAGTTCCAGGGGCGAAAGTCGTATCCAGCTGATTTCTCAGCTGGTCCATCCGTTCCACGAACACGTCTGCCCATCTCGTCGGTGGTCTTCCTCGAGGACGTTTGTCTTCGCGAGGAATCCACTCAGATGTTCTTAGTGTCCATCTGTCTTCTGTTCTTTTCTCATTATGTGACCGGCCCATCGGTGTTTGGCTTTCGCAACGTATTCCGCTGGTTCATGAAGAACGGGACATTCTTCTCATATCCGTCTGCGAAGTCCGACTAGATGTTGCTTGTGTCGGGTCATCTTCAGAAGACTGCGCTCGAGCGCTCTCTGGGTGGTCCGTAAAGCTTTCGACTTGGCTACAGTATCGGCCCAAGTCTCAGCTGCGTAACAGAGCCGGGAGAACGGTTGAGTCGAACAGGTGGGCACGAAGCCCCGGGTCCGTCAGTTGGTCGGTGGCTTCCTTCAGGGGCCCGAAGGCGGCCCAGGCTGCTCTTCTTCTCCTGTTAAGTTCTTCCATCAAGTCGTTCTCCATGTTCATCGAACGTCCGAGATACACGTAAGAAGACGTCTCCATAATTAAGGTGCCTTCCAATTCCATTTCTGCATCTTCGCAAAGGGCGTTCCTCATGAACTGAGTCTTCTTCCGGTTTATTCGCAGTCCTACTTCATTCAGTTCCCCGTCTCTGCTTCGGTGATACTGCTCGAGAGAGAGAGCGATGTCGTCCGCAAAACGAAGGTTGGACAGGAATCTCCCATCAACTCGTATGCCTCTCTCGTCCCAGTCCAGTGACTTCATCACCCACTGCAAGGCCGCGGTGAACAGCTTCGGCGAGATTGTGTCGCCTCGTCGGACCCCCTTCCCGTTTGGTATGGTCTTGCTTCCAGTATCTTAGCTTGCCTGTACTTCCTGAGATCCTCTTGCAAAGCTGTTCTGCAACTGGCGTTGGCTATCAGTCGCTCGAGATGGGTTGC